GTTGTGGCTCGTGCCTCATGACCTTTCCGCACGGTAACCAGCGCCGCTTATCATTTTTTAAAAACAACAACCACAATCTGAAACATGTATCTTACCCTCACTGCTTATGTTCTTGCCCCAGCTAGGCCATCAGTTCTGGGACAGCAGAGGTAGGAGACTAGATCCTACACTCACCACTGTGACCCAGTGACTTAACCGGTGCCCAGGACACGTGGGATGTGCTCACCTGAAACATGGCCACTGAGTAACCCTGCACCTGGGCACTATTGTTAAAGTCTTGACTGGACTGAGTTGTAAAGTGCACTGGGGTCCTCACAATCCAAGAAGTAGGTGCTCACGTCATCGCTTCCATTTTATAGTGAGGCAGAAACTGTGGAGTGGTGGTTTGGCTGCCTCTCCCACTCAAGCTGGAATCCCTGGGATGTGTGTGTGTGTGTGTGTGTGTGTGTGTGTGTGTGTGTGTGTGTGTGTGTGTGTGTTTGAGCCAAATAACACCACATTGCACATGCTGGTCTTGAATACCTAGAATCAAGTAAACCTGTGACGTCAGCCTCCCAAGGAGCTGGTCTGCAGGTGGGTACCACTGCACTGCCTTGGCTGTTCTTTCAGCCCTCATGTATGTGCTCTTCCTAATAAAGGGTCCTGAGCATGTGAACAAATGAATCAGTGTCTATGAACGTCCTCACCTGGATGTTCCTTGGGGTACCTTAGTCTCAACATCACACACATGAACTCGGGTCCTTCCTGCAAAGACGTGCCCTTTGCCCACTCCCCTTATTGCCCAGGCCAGAAAAGCCATTGCCCTTTGCCTTTTCTGTCCCTTACCCCCGCCCCATGCCACTTACCAGTGAAACACCCCTAACTGCTCTCTGGTGAGCAGAGACTGCTGTCTGCCTCAGGCCCTGCCCCCTTCACTCCCTCCCAGGGGTCCTGGCACTTCCCTAGGTCTTAGGATAATACCCCAAACCCTTAGCTTGCCACTCAGGGCTTAGTATGTCATGTCTTGTATCCTCCTGCCTCACCTCCCACTTGAACCCACACCACACATTCAATATCTACAAGAAAGTTCACCGCATGGGACAGGAAACTGGGTCTGGCTCATTCCCTGCAGGAATTGATGACGTAATATTTATGCTAACATTAGTCTGCATTTTAGAAACTTGCTTTCTCAGCAAAAGAAAGGGGGAAAAAATACTAGCCTTGACGCTAGAAGGCTTCCTGGTATGTGTAACGCATTGGAATCTAGTCCCAGCACTGACAAATAAAATAAGAAAGGAAAGAAGAAGGAAGGGAGAGAGAGAGAGAGAGAGAGAGAGAGAGAGAGAGAGAGAGAGAGAGAGAGAGAGAGAGAGAGAGACCAAGGGAGGAAGGGAGGGTGCACAAATAGCAGGTATCCAAAGAGTTAAACTTCCCTCATAATGTGGAAGATGCCAGCAGGTGACGGTGAAGGCCCAGTTCCATCTACTGCCACCAGAGGGCAGGCAGGGCCTTCTTAAGCGGAGTTTAAAACAGCAAGGGCTAGGGTCAGATAAGGACAGTGTGAGATGGATAGGCTTTTCCAGGCCCGGGCCAGGTGAAGCTATCCTGTAAGCAAAAGGATGTCAGGGTTCTCCCCAAGGAAGTCTGGGATCCACATTCAGAGGAGAGTGCAGCAGGCCTGGTGTGTGGGGGCAGGGTTCCTTGGCCTACTTCCAGGAGGTGACATTACAGAAAATGCAGCTTGTTCATTTCTTTAGTGGAGTAGACCACACACCGGGAAAATGTCAAAGTGTGGGTTTCCGAGCTGGTGCTGCGGCTTACAGTGTTCAAACTGTGTCAGCGTATCGTCAACACAGACCTTTAAGATGCCTGAGCCTGTGAGACCTGGGGTCTGTTTCAGGAGTCTATGCTCCAAAAAAGGAAAATGCCCCCGACACAGGTGTGTCTTGCTCATCTCCCAGCATGCCTGAGGGCTAAGCCCCAGTTTCAGCTGCGGCAGGCCGCCTTTCCACTCCTTCCTCACCTCCCGTCTCCGCCTTTGCCTTCTGTTCTTGGGAACCCCGGAATAAGACAGACCCCGCACTGAACACTTGCACCATGCCTGGAGAATGAGCTCCCAGACCACCCAATCTTCCTTGCACAGGAGGACAAAGACCTCAGTCTGCCACACAGGCCTTTCTCAGCTACTGTGGCTGGATATGTAACCCCATGCCCCCCAAAAGACATAGTGGAGTCCTTATCTCTAGATGTCATAATTCGACCTTATTTACATTTCACTGAAGTAATCATATTACAGTAAACTCATTACAGTGGACCCTAGCACTGTACTAATTTAAAAAAAAAAAAAAAAAAGGAGGGGGCAAATTGGGAGACAGATAAGGCACTTCTATGAAGACTGGAATTATGTTGCTGTGAATCAACAGACTTTGAGAAGCTAGGAGAGACTCCTGGAACACAACTTTCCCTAGCAGTAAGACAGCTTTAACTGTCAATTTAACACAACAAGAATCACCTGGGAAGAGAGCCTTAATGACGGATTGTCTACACTGGATTGGCCTGTGGCCATGTCTGTAGAACACTGTCTTAATGAAGTCAATGATGTGGGAAGACCCAGGCCACCATGGGCAGCACCATTCCCTATGCAGGGAATCCTGAACTGTATCAGAATAGAGCAATCAAGCTAAGCATAAACAAGCAAGCATGTGACACGCATGCATTAATATCTCTCTGCTCTTGGGTGTGGCTGTGACTAGCTGCTTCCTGACCCTATCACTCTGCCTGCCCCAAAGTGGTGGATTACAACCTGGGCACTATGAATTAAAATAAACCCTCTCTCTCTACGTTGCTTTTTGTCAGGGGTATTTTAGTCACAGCAGCAGAAATGAAACTAGAACACGGTGTATGAAGGAGCATGACCACCTCCGTGCCTTGATCTCGGACTTGTGCGTTCAGAATCGTGAGAGAACAAATCCCCATTGTTTAAGCCACTCAGTTAATAGCACATCGTTGCGGCAGTCCTGAGAAAACTGTACACCAGCTCTGTGACACACCCGCGCCTCCACGTATGCCTTGGTAAAGTGGGAGCAGTGATGTCTCTTTGTGAAGCCTGCTGTGTGGTCATCAAGGCTCCGTTTGCCCTGAGCCTCACACTCGTTCCTTTCTCCTTTAGAGAACAGGAGAAGGCAAGGATAGTGCCTCGTATCTGTAGCCCCAGCTACTGGGGAAGCTGAAACAGGAGCGTGTCTTGAGTCCAAGACTTTAAACCCAGTCTGCATTACAGAGACTCCATCTCTCTCTTTAAAAAACAAAATGAACGAAAATGGGGTGAAATTAGAGTCCAAGCTAGAAATGGGGGAACATGCCTATAGTTCCAGCGCTTGGGAAGTAGAGACAGGAAGATCAGAAGTTCAAGACCAGTCTGTGCTCAGTGGTGAGTTCCAGGCCAGCCTGAGCTCGGACTGAAGGTTGGAAAGGGGGAAGAGCCACAGCCCCAGAGAAACACCTAGACCAACACTGACTGATGTGATGGGTGTGGCTGATGTTCAGAACTGGATGCCAGAAATCCACTTCTGCCAACACCGGAAGGGCACAGGTGGAGGATGAAGGCGAGGATGAGAGCCAGGGCTAGAGTCCTGGCCGCAAACCCCTAACACCACAGTTAGTCCTGTGCCAAGAGTGTTGCTTATGCTTGTATTCATCAAAACAAAACAAACAAACTTTTGGACTATTTGTGCTTAAAACTATGCTGGGAAAAAAAATATTATTTTTTTAAACCCACCCAGGGACTAGGGAGATGATGCATTAGGACTCAAGTTGGGACTCTCAGCTAAAGTGTTGTGTGGCATGTGTGCCTCTAGCCTTGGTCCTGGGAGTCAGCAACAGGCAGGTCCCTGGGGCTTGCTGGCCTGCCAGTCTAGTTCACCTCATTAGTGATTCTCAGGGTCGGTGGATGGTCCAATTTCTTTTCTGTTGCCGAGATAAAGTCACTCTGACCAAAAGCAACTTAAGTGGGGGAAAGGATTTATGTGTCTTTCACTTCCGGGTTGTAGCCAGTCATTGAAGGAAGTCAGGGCAGGAACCTGAAGTAGAAATTGTGAAGGAGCAAGCTGGCTGGCTTGCTCCCAGGCTCATGTTCATCCCCAAATTGATGACTCTAGGCTGTGTTGAGTTGACAGTGCTAACTAGGACAGTGAGGGACTCTCTCAAAAAATGACATGGAGAAGTGATTTAAGAAGACATCCTGATTTCAGTCTCGGGTCTCCACCTGCACCTGCATGGAAGAGGACTGGTATACACATATGCAACACCACACACACGCACAGAGAGAGAGGAGAGAGAGAGAGAGAGAGATGACTCTTGTTCTCATGATACGTGGAATACACTGGATAACACAATGTGAACCAAATAAATCCTGGAGTGATCACCTGGAGAAAACAGAAAAACAGGGTCTGCTCTGAAGGACAGTTTGAAGAGGAGGCAGAGAAAGGCTGGGCCTTGCAGAAAACACTTACAACCAGGCCTGGGGCTTTGGACTTCTGCATCTATGGCAGCACAGGTGTCAAGGTTCTGCAAGGGAAAGAAATGTGGGACTATCACGCCCTTGACCTGGACCCTCACTGTCCAGAAATGAGCCCTCAGGGCTGACACGGAAGAATCCAGTTCTGGATGGGAAAGACTTGGGAGCACGGCCGACTCCCTGTGGAGGCAGCTACCTCTGTGTCATCAGTAAGGAGGGAGTGTGAGATGGCTCTGATCACATCCAGAACTGGCCTCCTAACTGGCTGTCACATTTTATAGCTTTGCAGTTCACGTGACCACTTCCTCTTCCCAAGGCAGGAGAAGTTCCCTTGGTATCTGCGCGACTCCATGCAGGTGGAGTTGGACTCCATTCTTCCTAGGCCTTCCCTCCAGTCACTCCAGGTCCTGCTCCCCTAAACCCATCTCCCCCCCCGCCATCCCACCCCACCCCCCCGCTTCTTAGGGTTTCTGTCGCTGTGAAGAGACACCATGACCACAGTAACTCTTATAAAGGAAAACATTTCATTGAGGCTAGCTTACAGTCCAAAGGTTTAGTCCATTATCATCATGGTAAGATATGGTGGTGTGCAGGCAGATGTGGTGCTGGAGAAGGAGCCTAAGAGTTCTATATTTTGCTTCTTCTTCGGGAAAACACCAAATGGTGGATGACGCCGGTGTAGCAGAAGGGCACGGAGGACCCAAGGGCCCAGGATTAGGAGGCCAAGGCGGCTTCCAGGGAGGATTCAGCAGCGGTCTTAGGGGCCGGGGTCATGGTCGAGGCCATGGCCATGGTCGGGGCTCGTGGAGGTAAAGCTGAAAACAATGAGCGGATCCCTGTCACCAAGCTGGGCCACCTGGTTAAGGACGTGAAGTTCAAGTCCCTGGAGGAGATCTACCTGTCCTCCCTTCCCATTAAGAAATCCGAGATCATTAGCCAGGCGGTGGTGGCGCACGCCTTTAATCCCAGCACTCGGGAGGCAGAGCCAGGTGGATCTCTGTGAGTTCGAGGCCAGCCTGGACTACCAAGTGAGTTCCAGGAAAGGCGCAAAGCTACACAGAGAAACCCTGTCTCGAAAAACCAAAAAAAAAAAAAAAAAAAAAAAAATCCGAGATCATTGACTTTTTCCTGGGTGCATCGCTAAAGGATGAGGTTCTAAAGATCATGCCAGTGCAGAAGCAGACTCGGGCTGGCCAGCAGACCAGGTTCAAGGCTTTTGTTGCTGTTGGGGACTACAATGGTCATGTTGGTCTTGGTGTTAAATGCTCCAAGGAAGTAGCCACTGCCATCCAAGGGGCCACCATCTTGGCCAAGCTTTCCATTGTCCCTGTGCGGAGAGGCTACTGGGGGAACTAGATTGGCAAGCCCCACACCGTTCCGTGCAAAGTGACAGGCCGCTGTGGCTCTGTGTTGGTGCGTCTCATCCCTGCCCTCAGAGGCACTGGCATCTCTCTGTTCCTGTGCCTAAGAAGTTACTGATGGTGGTCAGTATTGATGACTGCTACACATCAGCCAGGGGCTGCACTGCCACTCTGGGCAACTTGCCAAGGCCATCTTTGATACCATCTCCAAGACCTACAGCTACCCCTGACCTCTGGAAAGAGACTGTGTTCACCAAGTCTCCTTATCAGGAATTCACTGACCATCTTGTGAAAACCCACACCAGAGTGTCTGTTCAGAGGACCCAGGCTCCAGCTGTGGTCACCACATAAGAGTTTTTATACAAGAAAAATAAAGTGAATTAAATCGGGGGGGGGGGGGAGTTCTACCTCTTGATCCGCTGGCAGCAGAAGGAGACTGCTTGAGCAATCTAGCTTGAGCATATGAGACCTCGAAGCCCACTTCTACGGTGACACACTTCCTCCAAGGCCACACCTACTCCAAGAAGATCACACCCCATAATAGCACCACTCCTATAGGCCAAGCATTCACACACATGAATCTTTGGGGGCCATTCCTATTCAAACCACCACACCCCCCAAATTGGTCCTCCTTCCCTCTGCAACCCCCATATGTGAACATCTCACAGAGCCCAGAGCTGGCCTCGAAGAAGAATCCGGTCACAGGATCCTGCATGGACTCCGGAAGGAGGCTGTAGGCAGAAGGCAGCTGGTGGGTTCCAGAGGAGCCCTGTTCTCTTTCTCACATGGACGTTTGTACCTTTCCACTTGAAAGATGAAACTCTACAGAACCCTGCTTTTGTGGAGGAGAGAAAACACTCTGTCTTCTTCACTCTGGTTATCCTGCAAAGACAGGGCGACGGAACACCGAGGGGAGTTAAAACCTTATTTATGCATCTTTCCTTCCTTCCTTTCGTTGTCTGAAGCATATTTCCCTCTTGCAACTCAAACAGCTAAATAAAGACGGCCAATGAGATGGCTCAGGGAGTAAAGAGACTTGCCACACAGACCTCACGACTTGGGTTTGACCCCAGGACCCACAGTGAATGGAGAGAACTGAGCCCTCAGAGCCGTGCTTCACACGTGCACATGTATACACACACTCACATGTATACACACTCACATGTATACACACACGCACATGTATACACACTGTACGTGCATATACACGAATGATGCTTTGAAGTGAATAAATATTTATTATAGAACAGACCACAGCTCTAGCAGATAAATGAGGTTTTTGAGAACTATTTATTGCCATTGGGGAAATGGCTGCAGTGTACTGTGAAGATATCCTATTTTTGTAAGGACTAAAATCCATGTTATTTATGAGAATGTGGCTTTGGGCCTTTTGTAATCATCAGGCTTCACTTTTAAATAAAGTCATACAAAGAAAGCTGTTCTGGGTGCGTCCCTGGATATGGATTACAGAGCCCCATGTCTAGCCCGCTTATTAGCTCGTCCCCACAGCTCCTATCCCATACCATGAGGGCTCAAGGAACATCTGGAACCCATAGATTATTCCATCTCTGATGCAGTGATCACCACATGGTGCTGCGATCTTGGATGATGAAAACTGAGTCACTGGGAAGCCAAATGTTTCAAAAGGTACCACTGTGAGTTTTTGGGGCTACTCTGAGTTTTGAACGATTGAGAATTTGGGATTCCACAAGTCATCTCATCAAATTTAGGAAGACACCGGCTTAGTGTCAAGGTTACAATTACAGGACACAGTTCTAAAAGAGCTCAAGCGAAGAGATGCATGGGGCAATGGATGGCCATCTCCAGGGTGCACCTCCCTCCAACCACAGGGATGTGTTTGCCAACCTGGAGGCTCTCCAAACCCACAGGCTAGGGGCTTTATTGAGGTTTTGTTACGGAGGCATGCCTGAGTCCCTCATTGGCCCTTGGTAATTGACCTGGCTCTCAGGGACCCACTGGCCTTCCTGAAGATCACGAGGGCAGGCCTGAAATTGCAAACGCTTTAGTCACCTGGCCAGGCTTTCCAGCAGCCAGCCCACATCGGACTGTCTGTGGGGCTCAAGCTTTGAGTCATCTCATTAGCATACGCAAATCAGTAAAAATGGTGAGTCCCCGGAGAACCTTTCTGGGAACTTGTGGCAGAGACCCAATACTTGTTTTTCTTCTATTTTATTTTATTTCTTTTATCATACCACAGTGAGGTTCAAGGAAGGGGCTGTGGCCATGGATAGGCAGCGACAGAGAATACCAACAGCCTCAGATGGAAGCTGGGGTCCCACAGAGCTTTCTGAGGAACATTTGATAAGATAAACTCTTTAGAGTCCTGAAGTGTGCTTAGAGCTAAAACCTCCTACTTTTTTCCTGGAGGCAGGAAAACTCCTGAGAGAAGCTGGCCCAGTAGTGCATACCTAGAATCCCAGCACTTGGAGACCAAGGCCAAGGTTGGAGGTCTAGGGCCAGCCTGGGCTGCAGAAAAAGAGTACTCTTCAAAAATGAATTAATTGATGGATGGATCAATTAATAAAAGTTTAAATGTCCAAACAGAGCTTGGCTCTACTCAATCTCTCCCTTGCCTCTTGAGTCCCTCCAAGAAACATCCTCATTTTCCTGACCACAGAGGTGAGCCAAGATTTACCTCCCAAGAGTTGCTGATGTCACCCTAGCTGGCCACTAGGGTGAGCAAAAGGACAAGAATTATGCAGAGGCCAAGCAAAAGCTCACCTGGGCTGTCTCTGTCACCTGAGAGCTGCCAAGGCTTTCCAGACCTAAGCAGAGAGGGAACTGATGGGAGGGGACTGGGGAAGGAGAGGGGCTGGGGTCGGACGTCTCCGTTACCCTGTCTCTTCCTGGCTCAGGCTGCTGGCTGCTGGGATCAAAGGGCTCTGGAGAAGCACTGCACAGACCTGGAAGAGCCACCCTTGACCTTTCAGGTTCCCCTTGCAGATGTGGGAGGGGTCTTTGCAAGGGTGCTCTCTGTCCAGTTTCTTCTGGAGTGTCAGCACTGAGCAGAGCTTTGTGTACCAGGATTAGAAGAAGCAGAGGGCCGGGAGAAGGTGCCTTCCCCACTCCTCCAGGAAGTGCTGGACTCTGGGGCCTAGCCAAGTAGCAGAGGGGACAAGACCAGAAGGAGGCAAGCCTCAAAAAACCAAAGATGCCGCTACCCCACAGAAAGACCCAGCTGAACCCCAGCTTTATGCCTCTTTGCATCTCAGTGCAGGTCACTTGACTTCTGTAAGAATGACACAAAGACATGCACAGATGCACAGCACACACACACACACACACACACACACACACACACACACACACACACACACACGGCTTATTGCACGGACTCCAATGCATTGACCCACACTTTGTGTACCGGTTAATGGGAGTGATTATTAATGTCACCCTACCCAGCAATTCCCATCAACGCTGCCCGGGTGTGTGTGTGTACTTGTGTGTACTGTGTGTACTTGTATGTATTGTGTGTGCCCTGTGTGTGTGTGTGTGTGTGTGTGTGTGTGTGTGTGTGTCTCCTCTGCTGCTCTCCCAGGCTCCAGGGTCTTGCAGTTCCTCAAGCCGTGGGAAAGGCATCTTCTCTGTAGACTTGTCAGCACTGATGAGGTTTCCTTCAGTCCTGCTGCTCAAAGACTGCCCTGTGCTGTCACTAAGAGAAAGCTGGAGCTGCAAGAAAGGAGGCTGCAGGAGCAGCTGCAGGAGAGGGAGCTGCAGGAGAGGCTTCAGGAAAGGGGGCTGCAGGAGAGGGAGCTGCAGGAGTGGCTGCAGGAGAGGGAGCTGCAGGAGAGGCTGCAGAAGAGGGAGCTGCAGGAGGGGCTGCAGGAGAGGCAGCTGCTCAGGCCTGCCAGATCAGAACCTGCACCTGAGAGCCACCAGGCCACTGTGCTATCGTTGCTCAGGAAGTGTGTCTCCTGAGCTTTTTGACACACACCACTGAGCCTCACAGTGATATCCAGGATGGCCTAGAACTCATGATCCTCCTGCCTCAGCCTCTAAGTGGCTGAATTACATGTGTGTGCCTCTACACCTAGTGCATTCAAGCCCTTTTCATTTTTGGGTTCGTTTTTTGAGACAGGGTTTCTCTGTGTAGCCCTGGCTGTTCTGGAACTTGCTCTGTAGACCAGGCTGGCCTCGAACTCAGGGATCTGCCTGCTGTTGCTACCACTGCCTGGCTTAGTGCCTTCAAGTCTTGATGTGATTAAACTGACAGGACCCATTAACAAGCAGCAAACTCACCAGCGTGTATTTGAGAGAGAAACACTTTTCCTATCCTAACTAGAAACAAACTCTTGCAGGCTGTGGAGGTTAATACTGTAAACACCAAACACCACCCTCATCTCAAAAGGGAGAAGAGGTAGCTCATTACTGGGTGTGGTGGTACCTGCCTTTAACCCCAGCACTCGAGAGGCAGAGGCAGGTGGATCTCTGTGAGTTTGAGGACAGCCTGGGCTACAGAGTGAGTTCCAGGACAGCCAGGGCTACACAGAGAAACCCTGGCTCAAAAAAAAAAAAAAAGGTAGCTTATTATAGAGCCAAATTCAAGTGACCATAGCCCAAGAAAACACACACTCAGGTTACCCCAAATTCCACGTTCCAACTGTTATGAGGTAAGCCCACCAGAGACCACGACATGGACACTCCTAAAGCTGAAAAGAGTCTTATTGCCGGCCAGTGGCTGCATGGGGAACTTGCCCAAATGGCCTTACAGCCCTTGATCTTTTACGCACAAAAGCCACATCCTGGTTGTCACACTTCAAGCAGCAGAACTACAGAAGCCAAAAGGGGCTTTCCTAAACTATGGACCAGATGTTTGATGGATTAGGCCTTTGTTCCCATTTTGGCAGGTGTTGGGGCCTTTGTGCTAGGTTTTAAAGTCCGAATGGTGCCTCTAACATGGCGTCAGTTGTGCTAATTTCTGGGGTCAGTTACACAACATAGTAACAGTCTGGTGACGTTTTTATAGTCACAGAACAAAAAAGTCATAAATCAAAGTGCTTTTCAAGGGGCTGGAGAGATGGCTCAGTGGTTAAGAGCACTGACTGTTCTTCCAGAGGTCCTGAGTTCAATTCCCAGCACCCACATGGTGGCTCACAACCATCCGTAATGAGATCTGGTGCCCTCTTCTGGCCTGCAAGCATACATGCAGACAGAACATTGTATACATAAAATAAATAAATCTTTAAAAACAGAACAAAGTGCTTTTCAAAGGCATTGATAGGGACCTTAGGGAAGGGGTACGGCAAGCAGGGGAACTTTACTATAGGTCTCAGATGCTAGCTGCTGACTTTAACCCTGTGATTGGTTGGAAACTAGGTAGAGATCTGTTCATACATTCCAAAGGATTTACCTAATGGTCACAGAGACGTTAAGTCATGTGCAGAGGAGTACAATAAACGGCCATTAAGGGAGCAAAAGATGCCCCGAGAGAGTTTGATCCTGGACTTGCAACATTCCAACCTCTCCACATCATTGAAGTTCTAATCAGCTCATCGGCCTTGCAGAAGGTTCCGAGGAACGTGCAATTCTTTCCAGGAACTTTCGTTCACAGTATTAAGATGGCCACCATGTCAAATGGTTTCATCAGTCACTTACTGGGCTGCCACTGCTCAGCTAAGGCCGCCCATGGTTCTGAGTTACTCAGAAAAGTGTAACTGTTTCTTCTTTCTCTGTCTTCTTCCAGAGCTCTGGGTTTTCTCACTGTTTCTCTGAAGCTACCCCCTCCCACCTCGGTCCAGGGAGGCTGCTCCGAGTCACGTGATTTTCCATCTTCTCTCCTCTGAGCAGCTGCCAAGGCTTACAGCTTGCCTGCCTGTTGTTAGTCTCAAACTCTAATAAAATTGTCCCAGAACTTAAAAAAAGAAAGGAAAAAGAGCATTTTCCACAGTCAAGTGGACCTGGGGTTTTGGCAAATTAGTGTCCTGGGCTCTGAATCTCTGAGTGTGCAAAATGGAATTTATAAAAGCAACACGCCTCCCGCCCCTCTCCGAACATTAAAGCAGGTATTTGAGATTACAGAACACAGAGGACTAGAGTTGAAAACGATAAATAATTCACAGCTCCCGAGAGAAAAGTTTGGATCGTATCTCAGGCCAACAGAGGGGGCCTCTTTTCTCTGCCCGGCAGATGGGGCAAAGAGCCTGCACCTGTTTTGTGAGTTGAGCTACAACCTCCTCTTACCTTATTCCTCCGAGCCTCCTACCAACCAGCTACGGATGGAAACGTGAGACTTCTACCAAAAATGGGAAACCGAGGCCGCCGAGATGGCGCGCAGCCAGCCCAAGCACTCCTTTGATGGCGGGGAAGGCCAATTTGGTGATGGTTGACAGCCTCTGGTCGCCTTAGTGTGCCTGGCAAAGCTTGAGACGCTGCCATTCCCCCGTAAGACCAGGAGGGGGCGGCAAACCTCACCCCGCATTAGAAAGCGCCTGGACAGCTCGCACCTAGTAGAGCCAAGAGAATCCATTGGGCCTCCAAGGTCCCGATGCTCAGTCCAACATGACAGCTCTTCCATAAACGCTTCTTAAAGTTTGGTGGGTTTTCGGTGAATCTTATTCAACTTCTCTCCATTAAACAAAAGCCACAGCAAAAATCTGCTAGAGAAGGGCTCATCTCCATTTTCAGGCCCCCTGAGTATGCAGCGACTGTGAAGATTCTTAAAAACGGGGGTGGGGTGGGGTGGGGGAGGGAGTGGAGTAGGGGGAGTGGAGAGAGGGCTCAGGCTCTGCTTGGGATCCCAGCACTGATCACAAACGTCCAGTAACTCCAGCTCCAAGGAGCTGACTCCTTCTAGTGGCCTCTGTGGGCACTGCACTCATGTGCACACCCTTAAAAAAAAATCTTTAACCAATTTAAAGATTCTTTAAAAGACTTTCTTATTAACACAGAGGACTATAAAATACACCCTCGTGATCTTTACAGAGAGGAGAGATGTGTGTAAGTGGTGGCGTTTACACCTAGTACGTTGGAGGCCCTGGATTTGGTCCCTAGAATTAAAAACATCAATAATCTTGCCAGGAACGCCTACACGCACCCTCGGCCAGCTGTGTGACTTTCTCAGAGCATGCTGGTCCCAAGACAACCAGAACTGGTCCCGTATCAGCTCAGAGCTCCAAACAGAAAGTGAACACGGTATAATTGTCACGGGACAGCCCCTAAGCCAGAGGAAAGTGTCAGTTGATTGAGTGCAAAAAGATGAATCCTGGGCTGGAGAGATGGCTCAGCGGTTAGGAGCACTGGCTGTTCTTCCAAAGGTCCTGACTTCAATTCCCAGCAACCACATGGTGGCTCACAACCATCTATAATGAAATCTGATGCCTTCTTCTGGCCTGCAGGCAAAGCATGCAGGCAGAATACTGTATACATAATAAATAAATAAATCTTTAAAAAAAAAAAGAAAGAAAGAAAGAAAAGATGAATCCTTAGAAAACCCCAGCCCCTGTTACCACCCAATCTTTTAATGTCTCAGCTTTGATAAAAAGATACAGGGTTATGGTTTCCCAGGGCTAGAGGTTTGGACTGAATGAGTCAAAGTGCCAGGGAACTCCTGTGAAAACACACAGCCCACAGCCCAAAGCAGCCAACTGAGAAAATGAACATCGAAAAAGCTCTCCCGAGAACAGCCCAGACAGCACGTCACAGTAAAAGGACGCGCCAGTGGAATCCCCTTTGCACTGTCCAGTTTTTCTTATTTCCGTGACAAAGTGTCTGGCAACAGCAACCCGGGCAAGGGGTTCTTCTGGCTCACAGTTTGAAGGGATGCAGTCTGTCGGGATGGAGAAGGCCTGGTGGGAGTGTGAGGCGGCTGATCGTGCAACAGTGACAGTCTGGAAACAGTGATGATGCTAGTGCTCAGCTCACTTTCTCCTGTCTACTTCATCAAAGACCCCAGTGCCCTCCACCATCACAGTCAACCACTACAGCATTTCAGCAGGTCACCCTGCTTCAGTTAAGTCTCTCGGGAAATGCCCTCCCTGCTACCACTGATACATCCAGACGTGTGTCTCCCAGATGACTCTAAATCTGACCAAGCTGAGATTTACAGCCTTTACCCCAGAGTGCCTTCAGGCTTGTAGGGCAGCGTGCAGGAGCAAACCTCAGACTGCGCTGTGGGGCTGGGATAAGAACAACAGAGCTTAGATTCAGGAGAGAGAAATCAAAGCGAACACGTTGACACCAACGGAAGTAGGAAAATGGACAGGGCAGATCCCCATCCCGAACATGAGCTCGGTGAGAGGAAACCACGGAGCAGATCTGTGCCATCCCACAGCTGGTGCTCCTGTTTATACCCGTCGGTATGGCTGGAGCCTTTAAAATAAGTGCGGCCATTCATACAAGACAATAAACACATTATTCCTGAATTAAATAAATAAACCAAGACAAAGGGCTGCTGTCTCTCCCGGGATGTTGAGACAACTATCTGGAAGGCTCTGGCTGGAGACCAACAATAACAGAAGGAGAGGAGGCATTCTGTCTCCCTCAGGGACCATGCCATCCATCCCACTCACTTTGCAGAAAACTGAGGCCCCAAGGAGTCACTTACCAGTTCAAGATCTCCCGGACTCATCTACAGTCGTGAGTCTAAGACTGGGATTCTGGAGAAGGCAGTGCTGGCGTATGAAACTTGTTCAGTAGCCCCCCCGCAAACCCCTCCAAAGGGAGTGACCCCACCTCCAAGACAAGGAGTCCCATTCTTCTGACTCCACTCATATCCCCTTGCTCATCTAGAAAATGCAAAGCAAGATTCTTCCCAGAGGCCTGGTTGAAATGGGGCCCCTTCTCCTTCAGCGGCAGGTGTATGTCCCAGCCCCCTAATCCCGGCCCAGAACTATGAGCCACTGATACCCCAGAGTTAAGCAGCAACTTACTCTCTGCCAGGTGGGTGTGGTAGTATTAGAAAAGCCCTCAAATAGGCCTGGCAGTGGTGACCCATGCCTTTAATCCCAGCACTCAGGAGGCAGGGCAGACGGACCTCTGTGAGTTCAAGGTCACTGTCCTGTGTCCTCAGAAAGATGATGAAAACAAAAAGGCAGATTTCCCTCCTCGCAGGGGTGGGGCGGGGGTGTCTCCCAGGAGCCAGGATGAATGGCACTCTGGAGAGTTTGCATGTTTGTCCTCTGAGCCTGGCCTACTGTTCTCTGCCACCTGCGGTTCCATTCCAAGCCCCTGAAGGCTCTTCCTGCCTAGCAGGAAACATGCGCTAGAAGAGCATGCAGAGGGAGTGGCTGAAGGTCAGGGAGTCTCCACGAGCCTGGGTGGGACTCCATCCCCACCCACAGTTGGCATAAGATCCCTAAGGCTCATCCATGTGTCAGCTTCCTTCCTTTTAAAGGTTGAACAAGCGCCATTGTTACATTCTTTGACAATGACCAGGGGTCTGCCCTGACCTGGCATGGGGGGGCCCTCCCATGCCCAATCATCACTTCTAGTCCTGCACCTTGTAACTTAGAGTTTTCCTGCCTGGCCCACAGTCAGGGCAAATCTCTCACCTGCCAGTCCCACAGCTGCTCAGACCCGACCAAGTAAACACAGAGACTTATATTGCTTACAAACTGTATGGCCGTGGCAGGCTTCTTGCTAACTGTTCTTATAGCTTAAATTAATCCATTTCTATAAATCTATACCTTGCCACATGGCTCGTGGCTTACCGGCATCTTCACATGCTGTTTCTCATCGTGGCAGCTGGCAGTGTCTCTCTGACTCAGCCCTCCACTTCCCAGCTTTATTCTCCTCCTTGTCCCACCTACACTTCCTGCCTAGCCAATGGCCAATCAGTGTTTTATTTATTGACTAATCGGCAACACATTTGCCATACAGAACATCCCACAACAGCACCTAGTATAGACATTTGCTCTTACTATAAGGGAAACAGCTATGTAAGATCAGACAGAAGCCACAAACGGGGACTCCACACTGCCATTTCCATGACACTCTTGTCCTTGGGGATGACACTGGTGTCTGGGGACATACTTCAATGTTACAAAGACCAATTTGGACCCTGTGAAATCACACCAAGAAGAACATGTTAAGCAAGTAATGAGCAGTGACCTAGGCTTAAAGTGGGGAAGCAAAGTGAATGGAACCTGGACTGTGGCTTTAGCCCAAGCTGAAACCCTTAAATCAAATGGACAGGAGCATCCCTGCTCGCCCATCACCCCCTCAGAGGCCTTTCCTACATGCCCTCTCATGCGAATCCTGTTTTATTCTTCTTTATAACACCTGTGTTTATTATCTGCCTCCTTTGCTGAACTTGAGTGTGGAAGTTCCCTTTGTGGTTCCTGGTCGGGTCCCCAGGGCCTAGAACAATGCTTAGCACACAGTCAGTGCTAGATAAAGTATTTGTTGACTGCTTAGAAGAATGGACAGAGGCTATGTGGTGGTGTCGCACACCTTTAATCCCAGTACTTGGGAGACAAAGGCAGGCAGATCTCTGAGTCTGAGGCCAGGGCTACACAGAGAAACCCTGTCTCGAAACAATCCCCCCTACCCACCAAAAAATAAAAAAAGAATGGATAGGAAAAAGAAATACAGATACATCAGCGGTGAGTGAACTAATTATTGCGTGACTGTAGAAACCCGGTTGAAGATGCAATCACCGAAGGAGTGGGAAGGGTCAGTGAGGTCTTCGTGAACGTAAAACAAAATGAGCTGGGCAGTGGAGGGAGAGCACAGGCCCAAGCAGAAACTGGAAAATATGAGATAATCTAAGCAAGGTGGGTCCGCCCTTCCTCCCTCTCCTGCGCTTCCTGCTCCAGGCAGGGGCTCTGCCTCAACCCAGACTTCTGTGCCTCCTGTTCTGTCCTGCTGTGGATGGAAAGGGCCAGGGCGAAGCCCTTCCAGCCCCGAGGTGCACAGGGCCCTGCACTGCTCCCTGTGAACCTCCTAAGAGCACCTAGCAGGGGCAGCTCTTGCCAGCAGCCAGCCTCCCAGGTCAGTTCTCCATGCCTCCTTCCGACCAAATGGACCTCCTAACTCAAAACATTCTCATCTGCCGGGTTAGCATAGCTGTTCACCTTCCTCTCTACAAAGGACAGGGGTCACTCCCCCCGAAAGGGTTACTGCATGAACACAGGTTACAAATCAGGCCATCTGAGCTCTAATTCCTGTCTCATCCCTCACAACTTATGGGTCCCTAAGCTCTTAGGTTCATCTGTAAACGAACATATCCCATGGGATTGTTATGAGAACAAGTTACATGTCAAGTCCTTAGCGCAGGACCTGGTCACCATATGCTCTATAAGAGGCATGTGTCATCACTTGTTGACGACCCTGGCCTGGCAGCTTAATTCCTCCAAGGCGTACAGTGTGAAACACAGAATGTTTTGTTTGCCTTTTAACTAGTACTCCTTATATTCTTAATGCTGGGGGGTGCTAGGCTAGCAGAGGCAGAGTTTCCTGTATTCCTATAATCCACAAAGTACCCACTTTGCATCCTGCAAGGGTTCTGGCAGGCATGTAATAAATGCTGATGTCTGATAAACAGAATGGAAGTGGGTTACAAGGCATGGGGAAAGCTGTGAAAGGCTTCTACCAGCTACTTCGTATCTGCAGGCTCCTCACTTATCTCCTAACTCTTTCTTAAGAGTTGTCAGGGATAGAAGCACTTTTCGTTCACGCTTCCAGCCACCCCATCTTACACCCCAAGGGGCT